CGAGGGCGGCCGCGGGGAGCCCGCGGCGGGGGTGCTGGACCCTTGCGTGGCGGGCGCTTCTCGTCGCGCGAGCGGAGGGTGGCAAAAAGGTGGGGTTTCCCTCAGGCCTTGCTCCGGTGCCTGCCGGGTTTTCTCCTTCCAGAGCAGTGTTTCTGAGGCAGAGTCTTACTGCCGAGCCTAATAGGTTTTCTTCTTCCAGAGCATCCCTGTTAAGATTGCTTCCGCAAAGACATGACCACACAGGTAAATAAAAACACAGCGTTACATAAACTAATCACTAGCTTGATGGTTTTTTAGGCTGCTCATACGTAATATTAATTATTTTTTCTTTCTAGTACGGTATTCTCTTCAAGCAAGAGCAAGGTGAGAAAACACTAACATGTATTCAATTATATTGGTCTGCTTGGATGATGTAAAATTGATAATGGCAGATATACTTGTGAGATGACCTGGATTATGTTTGTATTAAGTATATATCTGAATAATTCGAAAGTAGCTGTGCTGTTTTCTCAAGGGTGACTGTGGTGAACAAAAGTCATCTTGTGTTTCGAAACAATGGAGATGGTGATGAGGCTCTTGGAGCACTGATAGGCCTGAAGAGCAAGGGCTCTATTGCCAACATTACAATCAGCAATTCTAGCATTACCAAAACTGGTAGCTGTCTTCCATCAAAAGAAGCCACCTATTTTTTAATTTCTGTGCTTATATTCTCTTTTAGCTCACGATGATGCCATTTGGTCGGTTGCCTGGGGAAAGAATAAAAAAGATGGTTCTGAAACAGTGATCTCTGGTTCTTTGGATGATCTAGTGAAGGTCTGGAAGTGGTAAGTGAAGTCTTCCATATTAACCATTCTTAAACCTTGGAGGTAGTCAGTATGGAGATACAGCAGTCTTGAATTTCCATAATCTGCAGGGATGTTAGAAGTCACATCAGGGAAGGGGTGGGCTTGCACGCAGAACTGTTCCCTTGAGCAAGCTTATCTTCATTGTTGCATGATTTCTCTTGGAGTGATAGCATTTGGATGTGCTTTAATTTTTGAAGAACGCAAATCCTTTTGAAAATGCACATCGAATTTTATGTGTCATCTGCCAGGGAATAGTACAACCTGATGTATTTCTAAACCAAAGAATTAGAAATGCAATTTTTTATGAGAGAATGCATTGGGAGCATGTGTACTGCAAAAGGAATAATGGGAATAGAGTAAAAGAGGAAGTGACATCTTCCTTCTTTATTTAAAAAAAAATAAAAATCCTCAGTATCCTCATACACACGACACTGAAGCATGCGTTTGGAAAGAAATTGTTCTATCTCTTAGCCAAAGCAGTATTGAATGTGTGCTTCACTTTAATGACACGAGTAGCTGTGTTGTGGTGATTATAAAAATGCTGGTTGTTGCGTTTCATGCTATGCTGACAGATTAAGAGTCTGCTGTGTAAGTACCCCTGTATTGATGTGTGGTGGACATTTCAGTGGGACTACTTACCAACTTAAGCTGAAATACACACTTTGCAGAAATATGGTAAACGATTGATTTGTTGGTTCTTTCCCTGAAGTACAGAGAGCAATTTGTGCGTAGCTATCTTCATGTTTTGTGGGTGAAGCTGGATTCCCCTTTTGTTGAACAAAATGGAGAAATGTGGGTTGTCTTTGTTTTGTCTGAGGTTGGAGATTGCTTAAGTACCCCCTAGCTATTCATAACTAGGCTTTTGTTTCCCTTGCACAAAAGGAATGATGAAAAATTGGATCTACAATGGACTTTGGAGGGTCACCAGCTGGGCGTGGTATCTGTGGATATCAGCCACACAGGCTCCATTGCAGCCTCCAGCTCCCTGGATGCCCATATTCGCCTTTGGGATTTAGAAACTGGCAAACAGATCAAGTCAATAGATGCTGGTCCTGGTAAGAGATCAGTGTTAAGCTGTCTCTGCATATGAAGTGTACTTACTCTAGATAGTAAACACTGTACAGTATATAATTAGGGTGTATGAGATGACTAGGGTTTGTGGTGTTTTGTTTTCATTTGGTTTTTTTTTTAATCTTTCTTTCTTTGCAAAAATCTGAGTGAACTCAACCTAAAGTAGTATCAGTCAATTTTACATTGATTTTTTTTCACCCTACTTACGCTTTCTCAGGTACATTTAGATATGCTTTTTGCTTGGTGCATAAAGCAGAATGGAAACCAGCTTGCTCTTACAGATGTATTGATAAAAGGGTATTTTTAAAAAATAATTCAAATGCCTATTCAAATTGATTTACAAAGAAAGTCTGAGCTTTCTCCATAAGCACTGCACTGCCCTGAATTTGAGCTGTATATACAATGCTTATTTATGCAGTACATCCAGTCCTGAGTGAGCAAGTCAAAACACGGTAAAGCTGAAGTCTGGATCAATGTTACATCCTCCTAGTTGGGATTCAGGGCCTAAGATCTTTTTGTAAATATTCCATTGGTCCACTGGCAATCCCTAATTTAAGAACAATCTTGCAGTGTTTTAGGAAATCAATATTAAGCATGTAGAAAAAAACCCTGTGAAGTACATTGTGCCAGATAAATACGTTATGCTGCTATAAAATGTTATGGTTTTTTAAATTCCGTTGCAAGGAATGTTAATCTATGTTACATTCGTGTATCTGTGTTTCTCCTGCATCTTCTGTGCTTTGATAGATACCAGTGTTGCTTTCTTTTATTGGTTTAATATCTTTTGGTACCAGGAGAAAAGTAAGACTTTAGACTTAACTCATGCAGTGTTAAATTCTAAATTTATTGTTACATGTGTGTCTAATAAGCTGAAGGTCTTATTAGAAAATGTGATTTTCCACTAAATGGAAATAAATGGCTCAAGCTATGCTCCATTAATTACATAGAAAGAAGTTAACTTTCATGAGCTTGTACACTTTTGTTAAGAGCATGACCTATTTCTGTAGCATCGTGCAAAAACTTGGAGTATTAAGAGTAGTTAGGGGGCTAAATGTCTAAACAGCTGCATACAGAACTGACATTGTTGAATAAGAACTAGAAACAGTATTAAGCTAAACAATTTTTTTCTTTTTAATACAGTTGATGCTTGGTCCCTGGCTTTTTCACCCGATTCCCAGTACCTTGCAACAGGAAGCCATGTGGGAAAAGTAAATATTTTTGGTGTTGAAACCGGAAAGAAAGAATATTCTCTGGACACCAGAGGAAAGTTCATCCTTAGCATTGCATATGTAAGAAGCACAATTGATCCTTTCTTATGTGAAGTTGCTGTTGCTGTATTATGTTGTAAATCAGATATTTTTGTTTCCATCTGTCATCTCTACATAATAGTAAATGATGGCCATACTTTGATAGTTCAAAATAAATAAACTGCATGACATTTTTCCCCCTGCATATATGGAGAGTATACTTTGATCTTGTTTATCCACATATTGTGAATAAGTCAGCTGAAGTCTTCAGGACTTTGGAGCCCAAGTATGTTGCGTAGATCGTATCTGTGAAAAGCTGTCAAGAGAATGTCAGGGAGGTACATAGCATAAATATGTACAGTTGTTAAATGCATACTTTTTTGTGTTTTATTACAGAGTCCAGATGGAAAATACTTAGCCAGTGGAGCGATAGATGGCATTATCAATATTTTTGATATTGCAACTGGAAAACTTCTGCATACGCTAGAAGGTAATGCTTTGTGTATTTGCAATACCCAAGTTCTGGCTTCATTCCTCAACAAAATTAAAGGATAGAACACAAGTCAGAATAAGATACAACAGCCATGGCATAGATGAGTTGATGTTTCTGTCCGTTAGACAGTATTTAGTTATTTAGTGTGCTGTAACTTAAGCCACTTAAAATATTAGAGCCAAACTGTAAACTCAGGCCTGCATCATAAATGCCTGTGTCAAAAGATACAGTCAGTAATGCTTAACTGCAGCTCCTTCTTGTGTTGCAGTGCAGTAGAAGGGAATGAAGCTAAGCCAAATATGTGCTGCCACACGTGTGATTTTTTTCTTTTTGCTGTGGTATCAGTTTTATAGCAATTTTTTCCTGTTTTTAAAACATAACTGAACATTTTATTTGTAGAAGATGTGCATTTTTCTAACAGATAAATGGGCTTTTTATGTTCATGCAGTTTCTGTCCAGTTGTATAGTTAATTAAAAAACCAGACCACTTAATATGAAATCATATTCAAAAATATGACATAATTTCTAATAAAGATTCACAGCTGAAAAAAATAAGATACTTCTATGTTGCAGTGGACATACCTTAACATTCAAAGTTCAAAATTACTGTCTGTTTCCATTTTATGTTGTGTGAAGAAGCCTGTAGAGGCATAGAGAGGTTGCTTTCTTTTAATGGGGAATTGCTGTTCTGGTGTAGCTTCTTAAGCACTGTCATTAGTAAGAGGAATAGCTACATTCTAAGCCATACGTAACTTTGAATTTCAGGTCATGCGATGCCTATTCGTTCACTGACATTTTCTCCAGATTCTCAGTTACTTGTAACTGCTTCAGATGATGGCTATATCAAAATCTACGATGTGTAAGTTGTTATTTTGCAAGACATGCTAACAGGAAAATAACTATTCCAAGAGGCTGATACTATAAAAAATATATCAAACTCTGCTCTCTATAATTCCCTTCAGCTTTTGGTGACTTCTTTATGTAATAAATAATCTTAAATAATAAAATACTACACCCCTAGGTAGTTTTTAAGAAGTGCATAGGTGGATGACAGCCTTAACTTGAAAACAAGCTACTTTACTCATATTTGCCCTGTAGGCAACAGGCTAATTGTTTTGTGTATCTGTACTGTGTTTGTGTTTACCCATCTTAAACATCTCTGTTCTGTACCCAAGAAATTATGACCGATTTCTGTAGTGTTGTGCAAAAACTTGGAAGACCCCAGGGGGGAAAAGGCACTGCTTCAGTGATCTTCACTCCCCTAAACCTGCATTACTTTGCCTTCTTCATGGTGAAACTGTTTTGTCCACCAATGTGTCTCCTTAGTGACTGCTTTTTACATTAACCATTTGAAGTGGAAAACCAGAATCCGTTGTTACACCAGTTCAGCTTGGGTGAACAAATGTCTGGAAGTCACCTTCCATGAACTTGCATTGAACCATTCCTGACTGCACTAGCTAGCATATATTCCTGTTGCTTTTTCCCTGGAATCCACAAACCAAATGTTAAAATTTGTTCTTTCCACAGGCAACATGCAAACTTGGCTGGTACATTAAGTGGTCATGGATCCTGGGTATTAAATGTAGCATTTTGTCCTGATGATACCCATTTTGTTTCCAGGTATTGAGGAATTTTAACTTGTTTATGCTTACAGAAAAAAAAAAATTGTATTTATAAAAAGAGATGGATCATAAAAAGCAATCGTGTACAAATTGCAATGGAATCTATAATGGAATAACATACATTACAATTGAAGATTCAGGAGCCAACCTGTGATGGGATACCAGTTGTAGTGAATAGTGTTTTATACTGTAAGTCATCCCACTGCAGTGTAGTTCACCCCAAGTGAAGAACATCTAAACCTAAGAGAAGGGCAGTTTGATTCTAAATAGCTGAAATTGCTGTAGAATTAAAAAGTACAACCTAATGTAGTAGTACATTAATCTAGTTGAACTTCAGTGTTAACTCTTAAAACGGCTCAGACAGTTGGGGGACCAAGTATATGTAGCAGGAGTTTCTTTATCCAAAGAACTTGCTTCAGAGAATTTTCTGGCTAAAATGGGAGTCTTCATTTTCATTTTGCAGATATTGAAACAGTAAATGTAACTTAAAGATAACTGGAACCTGGTGGAAGATGCACTCCTTTGCTACTTCATCCCTGTATTTGTTGGGTGAAAGAGGGTTTATGTCTACTGTATGAGATCTTTTAAGCTCTGCCCTGCACTATAGTTAATCTATTAATTTAAACATTGATGAATACTATTTTTCTTTCAGTTCATCTGATAAAAGTGTAAAAGTTTGGGATGCTGGAACGAGAACCTGTGTTCACACTTTCTTTGACCACCAAGATCAGGTATGTCTACTATTGCTTCGTCTAGGTCACTGTGTTCACTGGAGCACTTCAGTTATGCACATTTGTGCTTCAATTGGGTGCTATAGCTTTGAGGTTGGACTTTGCCTTGCTGTAATGAAATCTTACTAATGGTCATTTGGCACTTAATATTGAACTAATGTTCCAAGCGTGTAGGTTGATCTCTGCCAAGTAATTACATTTTTCAGGTCCAAGTAAGGGCAATCCTGAGTAGCCAAAAGGATTCTTACAGGAGTGTATTTTTTTGTCTGTGGTCTTAATTCTATTGCTTGCACAGTGTGTGCGTGTGTAAGGGGGAAAAATACGTACTTAATAGGATGGAATTATCTAAAAAGATGCTTGAAAGCACCCTGGAAACTTAAGAGGACTTTTTCCTGCTCAAATGTCTGTTATTTTATTTTAGTTTTATTTTCCCTCTCAGAGATAGCTGCCCTTGAGGGAAGATATTCTTTGTCCAAATGTTAGGTGTTAAATGGAACAATGCTATTTTTTAATGGATTATAGAGGAAGATTTAACAAAGGAAACTTTCAGGTTTTATTTGGGCTCTTCCTTCTATAGTACTTTTTTGCTGGTAACCTTTTCAGTTGTCCACAGCTATGGTGGTTTTAGTATTGAAGTACCAAGTGGAATTGGTTTTCCAGTGTTTTAGCTGTTTGTTGTCTGTAATCTTGTTAAGTTTGTGAAAGGCAGAGATGTATCAGCCCTTGGGAAGGCTCGTTCTTAAGTATTAATGCCAAATGGTGTATGAGATTCCCAAAAACATGCTGTTGTCAATATATCCATTCTGCAATCCCATGTTAACGTGCTGGATAGCCTTTACTCTTCCTGATGTCATCATGATGATGGAGATGGGGGTCAGTTAAGAGTTTGTGTAACTGTCATAATTTAAGTCAAGAGGACTGACCTGAATTTTTCTAAGCTTTGCACGGGTAAGTAAATGGCTCAATTAGCCCAAGGATAAACTGAATCACTGTTTTCTGTCATGATGCGTCAGTCTGCTTGAAAAATGCTTCCTCTCTTGCTTTCCTGGAAGCACTGTAAAATACTCTTTTCAGAAAGGAAGACAGGATGGGCAGGAGTGAAAATGATATGTCTGATTTATACAAACTGGGGCAAGTAGGTTTTCAGCCTTTTCCAAGTATCTTTAGATTGTGTAATCTATTGCCAGTAGGAGTAGAATGTAAGAACTTGTCAGGCTACTAGATGGCAGTGTCCTTCTCTGCTTCATCAGCTTCATCTGCCATTAAAGCAGAAAATAAAAAATGAAAGCTGTTAAATACAGACCAGCTCTTGTAAGGTGATCTTAAATAATCCTCCCTCTTCTGCTTGTTATAGTCAATAAATGTGACTGCTGGGAAGATGTTTTTCTTGGTCTCCTGTTGATAACCTCACATATGTCCTATTTGCAGGTTTGGGGAGTGAAATACAATGGAAGCGGGTCCAAAATTGTATCTGTGGGAGATGACCAAGAAATTCATATTTATGATTGTCCAGTTTAAATGTACTGATTCAGACCTTTTGGTTAACTCTTGTGGCAGTTTTTAGGAATACTACTGTCCTCTCTAACTTTTTAGTATAAAAGCATTTTGGTAATGCTGATCTGCGAAATCAGGTATGTTTATATGTAATTTTCATTTTGTTTAGCATGAGAAAGCTTTATGTTTTTTAAAATAAAAGCTACAGCTGCAAGTAACTTCTGTCTAATCCTTGGGAAAATTTATTTTTGGAAGTATGTAGTCATGGTTGAAGTAACTGCTCAGTTAATCTCTCCTGCCTTTTATACATAAATAGACTAGGCCTGAGAAGCATTGACCAGGTCTCATAGCAGCTTATTTTAGCAAAAGGAAAAAGGACTGAGGCTGTTGTATGCATGGGAAACGATAGCCTGCACTCATCTTGATGTACCAGTGAGTGCAGTAGGGTCACTTAAGTTGAACACCTGCTTAGAGAAACTTCAATAGAGAGGGTCTAGCGCGGCTTAGAAAGTACAAGAGAAGCATAATAAAATGTGAAGAGTTCTATTTATTAGAAGTTATTTGCTATGTTTTATTCCATGAAATTAATTTTCCAGTATGAAAGTATTTACATAAGACATTCCACTTAGCCTCTATCGATATTGCCAAAGTCTTATATAAATAGCACAGGTGAAATAAATTGAGAACCTTCACAGCAAAAGAAAATGTATACCAACTCAGTTGGTTCTCAGCTGTGTGACATTTGCTTATATATAAAGACTACAAGAACACAATATAAATTAGTTACAAAAAGGTGATACCAACAGCGCAGCAACTCAATTTGCTGAACACAAAAACCACAAGCAGTGGCTATTACAGCCATGCAGTTTTCATTGTGAAAATTTACATTTTAGATGACATCCATTCCACCTTGCTTCAAGATGTCTGACATTGTACTCCTGTTCTTGGACCCTCCTCATCTTCTTCATAAGCTTCTCCCCCACTGTTGCGGTAGGTTTGCTCACTTGGATCAAAATCTTCAAGGTCTACCTGATCCATCTCATCTGTAATCATAACATCTTCTCGGGGAGGAAGCAGAGCCTCCAGCAGACACAGTTTCTCCCTTGGGAGCCAGTAGTGCTCTGGGAACTGGACCTACAATTTTGTATTATTGTATTTTAATGAATAGTTACTCCCAATGCCAACACAAAGACTTTTGCTACAGAAAAGCAGTCAACTTACCAAAAATTGTATAATTAAGCTGCCTTTGTCCATTGGAGATTTGTAGATGGGCATCCCTTCATTGTAGATACACTTCAGGTCACCATGTTTTATCACTTCACCTACACGAAGGTTAAGAGTTGTCAGCAAGCTAATGTGACAGGCATTTCATAACCGTAGAAAGCAGGGTTATACACAAGCAGTGTTCCTACAGCATCTGAAGGAGGCTACTAAGCAACTCACAGAAAAGGCTGCAGATGGAAAAGTAGTAAAACAAACTATACAGAAGGAAGGCCATTTAGACCATTTCTTCTAAGAGTCAGCTTCTCTTAGCATAGCCTCCAGGCTGAATTAACAAACAACTTAGTAGAGTTTAAGTTTCTGCCCTCTTGAATTTCATTTTCCTGACTATCCACAGACTGAAGCTGAAGTCTACTGAAGAAGCATTTGACAGCTTTAGCTATAATTCTGCAGGTAATGTTCTAAAAGGAGCAAGAAGAATGACAAAGAACCAAGTGTAGTTTGAATCAACTGGTTAAAAAAAATTCAAAAAGAAAAAAATAATCACACCCCCCACAAAAACCCAGTCCAGGCACAATGAAACAGGCAAGCCATTTATGTATCATCAGAACTCTTAAGACCTACCTGGCCTAGACGATATGACAAGAACTCTGTTGTCCAGAGTTTCAATGGTCTTTCTGAAACCACATAAAGCCTCCGAGAGTTGAATTCTCATTTTTGTGATTAAGTCATGCCCTCGCCTCTGAAAGACACTGTGATCCTTTTGATCAAGCACAATTATAACATCACCAGGCTCCAGATCAGGCTCCTGGTCACCTTCTCCATGAAATACTATCTTCTGCCCATCCTTCATACCTGGAGAGAAGAAACACGTTTATTCTCTGCAGAACTATAGACTATGATTAGGAACACAGAACAAATACACAGTTCTTACCTTTATCAACATGAACTTCTATGATCTTTTTCTCTCTTACAACCTTACAGCCATTGCAGTTGTCACACCTGTCCTTCGGATTTATTCTTTCACCTTGGCCTTTGCATTCTGGACACACAGTTTGGATTTGTTGTACCATGCCAGGTCCAATCTGCTGAACTAGAACTTGCATTCCTCTTCCTTTACACACAGGGCACTTTTCTATTGCCCCTCTCTTTCCGCCATAACCTTTGACAAAAAAGTTAAATCTTATCTCAGTCTCAAAAACATCCCCAAAGTTACTCTACAGTAGTCAGGCTGGAACTCACTGACTGACCACCTTTAGGGCAACTTAAGAATAGTTCAGTAACATATTTCCAATGATAGGAATCTAGTTTCCATTGCATAACATGCCCCACAAATTAGAAGTTTCTACAAGCAAAAGAAAGTCAAGTTTTCTATGCACAGCTTATTTTCCTAACCTCTGCCCCACCTCCCAATACATCTTGGTTTTCAAGGAACTACCAGCATACTGACTTTAAGACCTAGACATTCCAGTAATACTTTGGAAAGAATCTGCTTGCTAAATATTTAATAGAGTAGTACGATACAAGACCTCATTAAGATTTACCACAAAGACCACCAGTCATTATGGATACTTAATTGCTATAAAGTGAGTTGCGTAATGCAAGCTAGACTTCTACCCACAGCAATTAAAAAAAAAAAGTTTAACGAAGCAGCCATTTATTAAAGTTCTGGATTAAGATACTTTTAATTTAGGTACCCTTAACTATAATTTGCACAGAGTTTAAGTCTGCCATTAGAACAATAACTTTACACCACTACATTTAAGAGATCCTTATTCTTGGATAACATGAATAAGAACTAAATACCCTGGCATACTGGGGGTGGGGGGAAGAAAGGAAAGAGAAAAATAAAAATCTAAAAAAAAAAAAAGCCCCTACGCTTTATTCCCAGCCCCCAGCGTTCTTTTTAAGAAAGAAAAAAAGGCTTGGAGTACGAGGGGTTTGCAACCACTACTTGTTTCTTTACCTTCACACTTTCCACAAATAACATTCTTTTGCAGTGCCAGTTTCCTGGTAATACCATTATATAAATCTTCAAGAGATACACCTAACTGGTGCACAACATTTTTGCCTTTAAAAAAGACAAAAAAAGAGAAAGATTAATTCTGGTTCAACTGCTGTAAGGACAAATCTTTATTTATAAGCTTCTACACTTGTTCATACATGCAGTCTCACTGAAGAAATGTAAAGTTCATTCCAAACTTTGAACACAGCTCAGCCCCCTTAAAAGCATGTGCAGTTCCATCAGCTTCCACTGAGCTGCACTCACTTATGTCAGAACATAGTTTAGCTGTAATTAAGCAAAGCATCATTAAAGCCACCCTACCCCTGCTCCTACCCCTAATTTTGTAAGCTTAACTGAAACAGCAAGATGCAAGGACACTACCAGCTTCAGATCCAGTCAATTTAGAGATTGCTATTGTGCCTACCTAGAAATTTCCATGCCATTTCATGGCATCATTTCAAAGATTTTATAGCAAGTTATTACTTGCTCACAAAAAGTATACTGTGCTTTTAGCAGCACTCTATACTCAGTTTCACTTAATTTTTCCAAAATATTTTAATGAGATTTAACATTACAGAAGTTTAAGTTGATGGTGTCCTTTGAAGCAAGTTGCCCAAAGCAAGTGAGGCACAGATCTGGAAAAAAGGTAACTTGAAACAGGTTTAATGCAACTGCTCTAACCTACCAATGTTTCCCCCTCCCCTACAGATTACCCACACCCACTTCAACAAAAAAAATAAACAGAACTCATCAGAAAGATTGCTATGGCTACATCATGTTATCTACTTTATTAGAATCTGGAGTAACTAAAAAAGTTAAAAAAAATCATAGTTTACTTGATCTATTGCTGCAACAAGTAATATCCACACTATGTGCACTTAGCAGAACAGCACATGTGTTTTATGCTTAAGTGCAGGGTTAGAGTTTCTAGAACTTGTTTAGAACTGTGTACCTCTTCTCTCTCTATTCATTCGGCCTCCACCACCAAAGAACATGTCAAAGATGTCCATGGGTGAAGAGAAGCTGCCGCCACTCAGGCCTCCTTCTTTAATAGCCTGCTCCCCACCCTGGTCATAGAGGTCCCTTTTCTTTGGGTCCGACAGAACTTCATATGCCTGGGATATGAGTTTAAACTAAAAAGAAAAAAGAAGCTCTGAACAACTATGACCAAGAGGAAAAGTAACCCTCTCATATGCAACTCCATCTTCAGATTGAGCCACTACAGCACTCTCTTGTAGCATTTTTTTCCAAAAGGATACTCCCTGAACAAATGTGTTAACAGACTATAATAGTATACTTTTGTCCAGGAAAACCACCCCTTTTCTCCCTCTCCCCCCCTCCTCCCATGTTACAAGCAGGCTTAATTGAGAGTCACATCCAACTTACAAGCAGATGCAAACTACACTTTGATGACTGGGGTAGTTGCAACCATTATACACCTCTAACAAATCCATTTAGAAAGGTATATAATACTATCCCCGAAGTCTTGGCGGTCCCCAGATGCTCACTGGCCACAGCAGTAGTGCTAGTTGTTCTACAGCTACACAGGGGTCCTTCATGCCTGCTGAGCTGCTACATCCAGGCAGAACTAAACAGAGAATTAAGTGACCAGCTGCTGGTGTTGCTTACTCATCGCAAATAGAAGGACTTAGATACAAATCCAAACATCCACGTTATCAAAAAAATTAAGGGATTTGTTTAAATAGCTATCAGGAATTTCCTATTACTAAGATAACCAAGTCAATTTTTAAACACAATTTGCTATTACTGAAATGACTACTTCCATTTTAAACATCATTTACATATGATGAGGTAAAGCAGTGCAAGTAAAAAAGCAGGCCAAAATTCAAAGCAGAAAAGGTTACTTCTAGCTATGTTACTTTATAACTAGCTTGACTTTTGTCAATTAGTGTACTAGATACACAAATATTGAGCTTCTGTTCCTATGTTAAGGTTTTACAGGACGAGCTTTCAGATAAATAATCCTATCATTCAAATTTTCCAGTTCTCCAATTGTGGTGCTCATTTATCCTCCTAGGCAACATGTGGAATTGAGCGGGTCTCTGCTAGGAGCATGTAAAATGGTTTTGTTGTAAACAGTCCACACGTGTGCAGCCCTGTGACTTCATCTGGATAGTTACCTTGTACATATGCATTAGCATTTTCTCTGAAGAAAACTCATCCTGTTCAGGAACACAAATCCATCCAGCGCAACCCCAGCACACACAGCAGTGCCGGCAGCTGGATCCACCACCGGCCTTTGCAACATCTGACACAGCACGATGGCCATTAGGGCACTGGAAATCCTGTCAGCTCTGCCGCTTTAACCAGCATGCCTACTAAGAATCAGCAACTACGGGGAGAGCGACAGGAACTGCGTCCAACAAGAGGAACTAAGGCATCCCCCTCCTGCCGTAGCCGGGCCGCCAGGCCTGCTGCCAGCTTCAGGCGCCTTTTAGAGACGCCGAAGAACGGGAGCCTTCATTTAATCGCGCTATGCTGCGGTAAGGGCATCGTGTCCGTCCTTTAGGCAAAGCAGAATTTAAAAGTAAGGTTATGGGCGCGCTTTCCGCCTTTGTACGTGAAGAGCGACCGGTACGTGGAAGGCCCGCGGTGCCCCACGCACGCGGCCCTGCGCCAGCCCGCGGGCTCTCCCGGCCCAGTCGCCCCCATCTTGAG